CTTTTTAAAATAGAGAGAATATCCGCATAACTTCAATGAACTTATGAAAAATTCATATAATTGGATTATATATGCGCTATTAAATATTCTCACCAGTTCAAAATATAAGATAAATTTTGTTTCAGTCGTTTGATTCTTTTATAAGATAACATTCACTTTTATCTAAGTATTTAATGAAGTTTTTTTTTCTAATTTTACCCCTAATATATATTCTTTTTTTTTATTCATTTATTACATTTTTTTACTTATTCTATTTATCAATAAGAACATATTTCAAAAAAAAAATACATACCTTATGTATTTATTGTTTAAAACTAATTTTAGCTAATTTTTGATAAATATAAATAGATAAAATTCATCTTATGTTTTAAGAGGAGGAACTAATAATAAGCGTAGAGTGAGTGATACGATCATATCTCGCCAAAGAGTAAAAGACAAGTTTTTTGTCAGTGGGGGATCAAAGTCAAAGAAAAATGAAAGGCAGCTTTTGATTTATACCCTGACCCTATAGAAAGATAAATTATTTTTTAGTCCTATTTAAAAATACTGAGAAAATTTTTATATATAGATGTACAATTTTATTTATTTATTATTATATTAATTTTGTTTATATAAAATATAGTATATATTAAATAAAAGTAAAATTAAAAAATTATTAAATATCAAACAAAAATTAATGAAATATAAAATTTTTCTTATGAAATACGTTTTTTTTTTGGCCAAATCGTATGAAATACGTTGAAAGTGATATTTTGTCAACATTTTGGGAGCATAATTATCAAAGTCCCATCATCAGCTGTACCATTGACTTGGTCATGGGGTCCATAATCAAGCGATTATAACATGTGGAATTGGTAATCATGTTATGGAATCCCATCCCTAAGAGATTGAACGCTTCAATCCTTATCTTGTTTTTGTTTTCAACACTCTAGGTAAAGTATGTAATTAGTGTCCTTTGAAAAAAATTAGAGAAAGACAAAAGAAAAATCCTCAACAAAATGATTGAACCAGATCTTTTGATAAACCGTATTTTCAAAGATTTACTTTTACTTGTTAACAGAGTAATAATGCTGTATAATCTATGTTGATCTAAGTAACTGACTTTATCTAATGTGACAAAGCTCGTTGCTGTAGGTAAAGTGTTTGGCTGAAATTAGTAGGACAGATGACTCTATTTCATCTTTGTGTGCCTTTCTTCTTCATATAGGGATTAAAATGCTCAGACTTTTTGATGCTATAGATATTTAATATAAGAGCTATTTTGACTTCTAAGTAGATTTAAAAAATCAAATAAATTAGTTAATTATAATAAATGTTATATAATCTTTCTAAAATATCTCTATGTAATATTAAATGATACTCTCTCTAGTTTAAAATATAAGGATCAAATCTTTGAAGGGATTTAATTTTTTTGAATAAGGTAAAATTTGGGTTTTTGTTTAATAATTTAATACATTTTTTTAATTTTTACTGCTAATTAATTACCTGTCTTTCTTATCTTTTTCTACTTATCATCTCTCCACTCTCCATAAATAAATACTCCCTTCAGTCCTATTTATAAGCTTTAAATTTGGAAAAGAGTGTGATTCATTTTACAATCTTCAATTTGAGTTTATCTTAATATTTAGTGTCTTTTTTAATATTGCTCATAATTATTTCTCTCTTATCACATTTTTCCACAAATTCTCTTTCATCCTTTTTCTCATTCATTATAAGGGCATATTTAAAAAAAGTATATTTCTAATATATTTATTATTCTTAACTAATTTTAACTGTTTGTTCATTATTTATGAATTAGTTATTTGAAACTTATAATAAAAATTGAATGAAATATGCTTTAGGAAAATAAGTTACATTTTTTTTTACGTATTTACTATTCTTAACCCACTTTACCTGACGTTTTGAGTTATGTAATTTAGTTACTTGGAGTATATCTAATTATAAGTTAAATAAATTAGTTTAAAAAAATTATAAATATAAAAGATAAAATGAATTATGATCTTACTATTCTGTTCCTATTTATAAATTACTTGTATCCCAACTCGCAAACAAAAAATGTATTAAATAGATAAATTTTTTCACATTTGCTCTTATTAAAGAAAATGTATTTAAACTATGTTTTATATTTTCTCTAACCTATTTATCTTATCTCTCTTTGTATTTATTAAATCAACAAGTGTAAAATTGGAAAAGGTTTATTAATTACTCTATAAGTAACTTATATTTAAGAACAAACTTTTTCCTTACAAATAACTTATAAATAAGAAGTGAGAACAGAATGATATATTTATGATCAAATCCAACTACTAATTAATTCCTATATTAGGGTTTTGGATTTGAAGTGGTAATAGATTTCAAAATATTAATTTAGATGTGATGTAATGAAATTAGTGTTACCAGTTTAAATTTAATGCCGTCTTTTTTTTCCCCTCATGATTAGAATATATATATATATATATATATATCCGGCAATATATATATTGTGAGTTATGACGTCAATGATATGTTGATTATATTAAAATAGCAATAAACAATTGGTGATGAAGTAATTTTATATTTTAAATACTGCCGTAAAAGGAATGCATTTTTTCTCAAGTCTCATTACTAATAATTAATAATTAATTAGTGAATGTGAAGGGAATATATGAAACGAAACATTGCTTGGATATGCAGCTAACCACACCCATCAAGAGTGAGACATAAGCTACCATTTTATTCATTTCTTTGTCTTATCTCATTCTTGTTGATATGATATGATATGTTGGCTTTAGACAGCTTCCATCGTTAATAACATTTAAATAATTAGATTTGCCACTGCATATTTTATTTTAAAAAATTAAAAAATAAAACTTAAACTAGTTGACATTTTGGATGGTTGACTTGGATTTGAAGATAATCATATTATAGTTAAAATATATAAATTTTCTATTACAAAAATCATACTGTTTTAATTTCTTTTATTTGATTGGCTTGATCTCAAAACCACAAGAGAGATTCAATCCAACGATTATTCTATAGAATTCAATGGGTAATTATTTGATCAAATAGTTTAATTTTTTTTAAAAAAATTTGGTATTCATATTGTTATCACTGTTAGTTATTTATTTGGATTGAACTAATGGTTAATTTAGTCCATAAAATGATGCGATGACGAAAAAGTATTTTATAAAAATAAATTAATGTCAAATGAGAATGTTTAAATAATAAACATATGTTTTAGTTGCAAATTTTGAAGTTTTATTCTTATTTTACAGAGCCCCTTATAGAGTTCCTTTTTTTTTTCTCTAGGCCGGCCGTACAGAGTTATTAATTATTATTCTACTTATATTCAATGTATCAAATATGAGTCATTTTAAAATTATATTAAACATTTTCTTCCATTTACATTCCTCCGTCTATAATGAGGACTATTGAAATTTATTTAACAAATTAAATAAGCATGGATGGTTTAACTCCTTAATAAAGACATGATGTGCTGGCCACACTTTAAAGGATATCCAAGTGTTGAACAACCATTTGCCATTCAGATTTGGTGAACAGTCTTAGGATAGCGTGAAACACATATTTTATTAATATATAATTATTAATTATTAGTATTTTCGTTCTCCATCTTTATTTGCTGTTCCTTATACCAAAAAAAAAAAAATTGAACACGCTTAACATGCCACCAGATTTGTAATAATTATTATTTTTCTGATATTTAATGTAAGACTTATTTAACAAATTTGATTAGATTAAGAAAGTTACGTAAGTTAGTTAATTATAAAAAATATAAAATATTTTTTCTAAAACACTATAATTATTTTTTTTAATATTTCCCTTTCTTTCCTACTTGATTATGGTTGAGGGAGTATATATGGGGGCAATTTAGAAAAAATAATAAATATGAAAAATAGGTCTTATATTTAAAACCAGAGTTAACTGAATAATTAGATCATATATTAAGGATTAGAGAAATATTAGTATGATAGGATCAAAAATCTCATATTTTGTTTCTTTGTACTCTTTCGATCCTAAATATAAGACACTTATATAGTGTATATAAAGGTCTCATATTTAGGACTGGAAGAGTAATTTCCTTTCCAAACAAAAGAATCAAATCAAATATTTTTAACAATAAATATTTCATTGCAAGAGATACAAAAATTACAAAATATCACTCGAATTCTTATTATAAATTATTTGTAGAAAATTTTTAATTTTAAATATAAATCACTTATAAAATATTTAATAATTAATTTTAATTTTATTTAATTTTTATTGAAAATAGAGAAAAAGAGAAAGTTGAAAGAATAATTTTTAAATATAAAAAATATTTTAATGACAGAAAATTTAAAATTTTTATTAATTTAATATATTTTTTAATATACGAGAATAAATACAATAGTAATTCTAACCAATATAATAGTAGTTTTGGTCTTTAATATAAGAATTTATTTGATTTTTATTTTGATCTTAAATATAAGATCTCAATTCACTTTATTTTTCATATTTATATATTTTTTTAAGATAATCCTTGACAATAGTAGTTCTAACCAATACACTTGATTATCAACCATATTTTAACAAAGACAACACATATATATATATTATAAATAACTAATTTAATTTTTTTTTAATCTCTTCTAATTAGTCAACTAATTTTTATAATTAAGACGTAGTAATACAATAATAATTATTGCATGAGTTATGAATTTCAGAGCGGATCACGTCGTTGACCACTTCCGCCGCGTCTACCAACCGCGTTTCGCTTCAGGCTTCACATTTCTAGCGGCCAAGGCCACGCGCTGGTTTGGCGCGTTTCCTCTTCCGTGTCCTTTCCGGGATCTGTCTGTTCAACGTAAGTGGAAAGTGAAAGTACAGAAAAAATCGGATAAAATATCGAAAAGGGGTCGCTGCCTTTGCTGAAACCTACCTACTACCGTCTACCGGGTCTGGGTTTCTTATGAATATTCAGAGTCGATCAGCCCATCACCATGACAGCGTTGCTTGCGCAGAAAAATGGAAAAAGAAAAAGGAGGAAAAAAAACCGTTTTTTGGTCCGTCTTCATCATTGGAGTTATAAAAGGGATAAAATAGTTTAGTCATGATGGAGAGAATGATTTAGCAAGCAAGTTCCTACCCACTCCATTACCTGCATTGACTTTTGGACTTAAATTGCTAGGGTTTCAAGCCCCCACTTGGTGATTTTTCTCATTGTAATCGTCTCAATTCTCAAGTAAGACTTTTTTTTTGATTCAGTTCTGTACATTGGAACTCAGATTTCTTGTTCATTCTTTTTCAGCTCAACAGCTATTTTTCCCACCCTTTTTTCTTTCCTCGTCATGGCTCTCTGCAGTTTCAAGTTTTTTATTTTCATTCCCCTGCTAGAGAGAATGATTCAAATTAAAATCAACACAAGTTATTGCATAAGGCTTGTTTCAGCTCTTTTTACATTTTGCATTTGTTGATGTCATCGAAGCGAATGACATTTCGGAGTTTCTGTTTATATACTTATCTAATTTTGCTCTTATTGAAGGCTTGCGATGTGTCAATCTTAATGTTCTTTATGTTCAACACTACAACATGATTGGCACTAATCCTTCGCATGCTCAGATACTTATTCGTTCGTTGCATGTGGTGATTCCTTTTTATTCACTTCTACACTATTTGCAGGTTATTGGGATGCTGTGTCCAAGATTATATGGATTTGGCCTGGCTTTTTCGTTTTGCTGTTTCATTCTCACAGCAGCAGCACAAAAGACAAATCCTTCGGAAGGTGAATTTAAAAATTTTACATCGATTGGCTTTTTCTGTTTCACCTTCTTTTCTGTGTCTCTGGTGCTTCATATTGCTCTGTAGACAAGTACTTCATATTGAATCATGATGCTGCATTGTGTCAAAACATCACTCAAAGTAGGAAAATGGCATGACAGTTACCATTTAGAAAATACTAAAATTTCAAAGTTCCTACATAAAGTGTTCTTCATAAACTGTTTGTGTGTGTGTTCCTAATATATGGTTTATGTCTCTGCCATTTGTAGTGAATGCACTCGTCCAAATCAAGAAAAGTTTGATTGATCCCAAGAACCATCTGAGGAACTGGAACAAGGGCGACCCATGTAGATCAAACTGGACTGGTGTTTGGTGTTTTGATAAAGCTGGGACTGATGGATACTCCCATGTCCATGAGCTGTATGGCCCTTTTATCTCTCTTTTTCTCCTTTTTTTTTTGGAAGTTTCAATCTGGCAATTTGTATTAGTCAGATATTAGAAAGTTAGTGAGGAAAGGTATAGAACTACAGATATGGTGGCAGAGTTCTAATTATTATTCTGCAACTTTACTGAAGTTACTTAATGACTTTGAATCTCTCGGGAAGTCTAGCACATCAGCTGGGTCAGCTATCTCGGCTTCAGATACTGTGAGTGATCTCACTCGATACACTTCTATCTTAGAAATCAAACAGGAGATTGAGGTGATACCTTTCAGCTATTCTAATGTCTTTATTATTTTCTTCGTGAAGGAATTTCATGTGGAATGATCTGACAGGCACGATACCGAAGGAGATAGGAAATATCAAATCATTGAAACTCTTGTAAGATGGCGTAAATTCTTTCTAGAGTTTTTCCCTTTACACAATAAAGCAAGATAATGGAACTGATCCTCAAGAGTTAAGACCTTCATATTATAAGAAGAAATTGTTGTCCTGCTAGACGATGATGATGAAATTTTAATTAAAGATGGTCTTATTTATGTGTCTATTCGTCCTTTAGTGTAACTCTGCTGACAGGTATAGTATAAATTAACGTATAATATCACAACGTGACATAAATCTGAAGTTCGGACAAGGTGTCTTGTCGTAGACTACAAACGAATTACTTGTGATAAATTAACTTTGGAATTTTCTGTTGTTCTGCTACCTGTATGAGAGCGTGCTTGTTTGAAGAGAAGTAAAAATGCTAATACTGCAGCACGTGAAATTTTATCATCAATCATGCAACAGGGTATTGATTTTCTTCACTCTTCCATGCAGTAACATAAAAATAACTGTTCTTTTTGTGGTCTGTCTTTACAGACTCCTGAATGGCAATAAGCTATCGGGTGCTTTGCCAGATGAACTTGGCAATCTCTTAAACTTGAATAGGTTCCAAGTTGACCAGAACCAATTGTCAGGTCCAATACCACCATCGTTTGGCAACATGGTCAATGTTAAACATCTGTGAGTGAATCTCTGAGCTAAATGCATCACTAACTTGGTGTGTAGCTGGATTTCTTATACCTACTTTATCTGCTTTATTTGTATCTTTCCAGCCACTTGAACAACAACTCATTCACTGGTCAAATTCCACGTGAACTTTCAAAGCTAAACAATCTACTGCATTTGTAAGTAGCCAAGGCAGAAGGCTTTTCTTCATCTACATTACCGTTTCAAACCTCTATTAGCAGTATGTTTCTCCATTTTCTAGTTTGTGCACAATTCTTCAGCGTGGTTACTTGTTGAGATGACATTACAGGCTTGTGGACAATAACAACTTCTCTGGCCATCTTCCACCAGAATTTTCCATGTTGCCAGCATTGCGCATACTGTATGCTTCTGTTCCCAGATTGTTTAGATTAAATAGCACTTACCAGCTATGGTTGTTGACATGTATCTTCTTGATTTCTCTGCCTATTCACTGTCTCTGAGGGCTTCTTTTTCACCCCTCCAATTTTTTCTGTGTTGGAGGATGAGTGAAGAATGCAAATATTATGCTCTTACATGGAATGACAGTCTCATCATGCTTAAAATATGATGTTATGATACATTTTAATTATCTTGATGAATACACATGCACTACAGAAGCATCAATGTCACGAAATATTGCCATGAGGGACTTTACTAAATAGCCTAAGAGAATTTATGTATAGGTTCCTCTGTTTCTGCTCTAGGACGGACTTGGCTTATTACAATATCTGGGAGCATGGCTTGCCATGTTTGTTGTCGCACATACATCGACTTGAAAATGCATCTAATTATACAAATAGAGTTAGATATAGTCTTCTTGTGTAACTTTCATGTCTTGAAGGATTTTTAGCATTGACTGGAAATAATTTAAATGGCTTGAGGATAACTGCAATTAATCAAAAGTGACAAACATTTCATGAGTTTATACAGGATGTTTTGGAATTATAATGCTCTATCTCTCAAAAAGTTTAAGCAACTAATAATGTAACATTAATTTTCTTCTATAACCTTTCAATTCCCCGGCTGATTTGATTTTTCATGAGCTACTTTTTTTTTTTTTGTCCAACCTAATTGCCAAGTGTATCTCTTGGGTTAGCGTGAATGATTTGGGTGGATGATTACACTCACAAGGGACCATGGATAGTGGGTGAAATCTTACCGAAGCTGTTTGTTAGCATTTTTGAGGAGTTGTTAACTTATTTTCAGTTGCACAAGTGAATGAGACATTATCTATAAATATCTCAATTAGGCTGAATATTGGCTAGGATCTGGTTGGTTATCTATAAAAAAAATACCTCTTGTTCTTTTGAAATTCAAGAGGTTTTTTATTTTTTTGGTCATTTTCCCTATCTTCTGATTCATTTGATTATCATTTAATGTCTATTTATATTATAAATAAGGCAGCAGCTAGTAAGGATGGGGGTTTGATTTTGGGATTCATTATAATTTGGGAGATTCTCGTTTGGCTTTATTAGTTTTATGAGTTTAAGATTCTTGCTAATATTCTAATAAAGGCTATCCTTCATCTTTATTAAATTGCGAAGTTAGAATCTGATTAACTATTTTAATAAAGACTTTCCTTCCGTCTTTGTCTCTGCCCATCTTGGATCCTATCAATTTCATTGAATAGCATTGTCAGTATTATGACCGAAGCATTTCTTAGATTCCTAAAATTCTATGGTCAGCTGCAGGAATATTGTAGAGTGGTTAACATTTTTGTGCCTTAGAAAATCAGGACTTGAACTCAAGATCGCCACCTTACAATTAAATAACTGTCTGGTGGCTTTAATGTTCCATGCTATGAACTTCTATAAACATATTGTTGTTCGTTTATACTTCTACTTTTCCGGCTGGTAGATGCCACCACATGCTAGCTCACTGTAATGCACGCTTATAAATCTTTACATTCGGAAGCAAAAGTAATGTAGCTTTAGCCATGTCCTCATTTTTTGTATTTTTCTTGTCATCCGTTGCAGCCAAGTGGATAACAATAATTTCAGTGGAACAGAAATTCCTTCAACCTATGCAAACTTTTCCAAGCTAGTAAAACTGTAAGTATTCCTACTGATAACTACTTTTCTTTATTTTAGGATGTTATAGATATTAGATAATTTAGTTTTAAACCACCATCCTCCGGCTCTCATCTTATGGCTTTAACCATTAGGCCAGCAGGTTGTTTGACATTATTCCTAAACCTCGTTGATCATGAAGCCAGGAGTTCTATCTATCCTTCTTTTTCGCAAATTTAATTTTCCAATTAAGATAGAAGAGAGTCTGTTTTTACATCCTTCAAGGACAAAAGGGTTTTAAATATCCTTTGGGCTTCAAGTGACTTCTCAAACTTCAAGATTGAGGGTTTCTTTTGAGACAGTATATCCTTAAGCAACGAACGCAGCCAAGGAATTTGCATGCCCTTTGTCCTGGGGATACTGCATTTCCTATACAAACAGTGGCCAGAAAAATACCAAGAAAGGACAAGACAATATGTGGGAGTTTTCAATTGTAATTTTGAGAATATAATCAAGACTGATTTGTTTTCCTGAGCTAACGCATCCTCTTTGACTTACAGAAGTCTTAGAAACTGCAGCTTGCAAGGAGCTGTTCCTGATCTGAGTTCGATAAAGGAGCTTACATATTTGTATGTTCAAATAGATTCTGTGGTTTGCTTTTACTTGTGCCTGATGACAGCTCATACCTCTACTTCATTCTCTCTAGACCACCTAGTAACCTGTGTTGGGTTCGTGTTTCAGGGATCTTAGCTGGAATCATCTTAGTGGACCCATACCAGCAAAGAAACTTGCAGATAACATGACAACTATGTATGCAGTTGGCTGATTTAATTCTTTGTAGTTTGCAGCTTTAATGCTCCAAATTGCCTTATCTACTTTCAGACCATATATTTATCTCATTCTTAAAGTATGACCATTTGAGATTGACATCGTAATTTTCTTTTTATTACAGTGACCTATCAAATAACAGGATCAACGGATCTATTGCTGAAAGCTTCAAATTACTCCCTTTGCTTCAAAAATTGTGAGAACGTACTCATAAATCTGTAATTTTTGCAGAAGCATATGATAGATTATGTTGTAATATTTTGGAATATCTTTAATATAACTCCCTTCCAGAAAGAAAAGCCAGCTGCCATCAAGAATATACTTTAGAATGGGCATTACCCTTTTTTTAATTATTTATTTTTTGAACTTGTCAATTGCAGGTCACTAGCGAACAATTCTTTGTCCGGATCCATCCCTGCTAGTATATGGCTGAATATGTCCTTCAGTAGGACTGCTAAGCTCACAATGTAAATTCTGAATCAAAATCAAGTTGTTTATAAATCTTGTAGTAATACTCTGAATCAGGCTAACTCTTCTCTGAGTTAGTATGGAATGGATTTTAGTAATGCTATTTTTGAATTGAATTTTAATGTTTTGCCCAATCTATGCAGTGACCTCCGCAATAATTCATTTTCAGACATTTTAGGCAGTTCAAGTCTACCAGCAAATGTCACCTTGAGGTATTCTTATTATTCATGTTCAGTATCAGGTGGACATCCATGCATCTGCCATTCTGCATGATATGATTCTCTCTCTATGGTTCTGTTGTTTGATTCATGAGCATAACATGGCAATCGTTCTTATTGCATTTTATCTGGATTTCTGATGTGTATTTGAAATTGGAAATAATGTGTTCTCTTATAAGTGGTTAAGTAGTTGATGCTTATAAATCAGATCCACTGTAACAATCTACAGTGGAACACAGGAGACTCAATTATCACTAAACCTTAGGACAGTCTCAAGAAAGCTGCAATGCAATGCAATGGTATACATATGTCTTATCTACTAATGATGTCAAGAAAAGGTGTCCTATTCTCAAGCTTTTGGCATCTTGATAGGTTTCTGTATTCTTTGACCTTCTCATGATATTTGCCCTTGCTTCCTTTAAGGTGCTGATTTGCTGGACATGTAAAGGGATTTTGGGTTATTTGGGGCCAATATATATTTCAAATAGGATGTTTTGTCGTTCAACTAAAGCTGTGCTTGTCTCTTCTAATAATGAATTCTCTTGGGCGGGGCAAAATAGGTGATATCAAAAGGCTTGTAATTCATTTATGATACTATCTAACATGTTAAAAAAAAAGGTTGTTTAAGATTGATGGTTATTTGAAAATTATTGGCTCTTGGTATTGTCATTTTCTTATCAGTTTCATTCCTTTTTCCTTGAAGGCTTGCTGGCAATCCTATCTGCAAGAATTCTAACATTCAAAATATTGGTCAATATTGTGCCTCTGATGGGGTTGAATCTGACGAACCTATGAATTCAACAACTTCCTGCCCTGCTCAAGCTTGTCCAACGGATGATTTCTATGAATATGTCCCAGCTTCTCCTGATCCCTGCTATTGTGCAGCACCTCTGAGAATTGGATATCGTCTGAAAAGCCCAAGTTTCTCTTACTTCCCTCCTTATAGAACTTATTTTGAGTCGTATCTGACTCAGTCCTTAGATATGAACCTATACCAAGTGTGGATAGATTCAATTGCTTGGGAAGCAGGACCTCGTCTTAGGATGTATTTGAAACTTTATCCTAATTACAATGATTCCCACTCTAATAAGTTCAATACAAGTGAGGTCCGGCGTCTTCAAGCAAAATTTGGATCATGGAATTTTCCTCGCACTGATCTTTTTGGACCATATGAACTCCTGAATTTCACTCTTCTTGGACCTTATGAACATCGTAAGTTTCTTACAATGCATTATCCATTTCTGCTAAATTCTTTTAATATCATCTTCATTACTTGCCACCATATGTATGTAGCATTTACCACAAACCTAATGATCTTTACTGCCGGCAAAAGTGCTTGGCAGATTTTTATTCATGATACAAAGAAATTAGCCATTCTCTTCTGGTGTTTTGAACCGCAATCATTGTCACTCTTGGCTCATGCACAAGGAGAAGCCATACGCCTATCTGTATATTTTGCAGTAGTAAATTTTTCAATGCAAAGTAAAAGTATTAATGCGCTTCATTGATGAATCCAAATTATTCTTCCATCAAACTAGGATAATATAGAAGAATAATTTTTATCAACCAAAGATTTGAATATCAATGGAAGAGCAGGAACCTTTTTTGTCTACCTAGAATTAAAATTGAAGTTGATGAATCAAAATGGATACATCTAATACCCGACCTAAATTTTGTTAGATTGAATTGAATTGTAGTGTGTTTTCCTTATTGAGTTTCTCTAACTTCTCCCATCATTGCCGTAGTAATTGCTGAGACAAGTAAGAGGAAGATCAGTACAACTGTGTTAGTAGTTGCCATAATTGCAGCTATTGCTTGTGCTACCACAGTCTCTGCAATTGTCACTCTCGTCATAGCCAAAAGACATATCAAATACCGGTCCAAACTATCCAGGAACCATATGTGTAAGTATTATATGTGTTTCAAGTGGGTCCTGTGCATTCTCACAGAACCCCTGATAAGTTACACTGCCCAAGGCTTGTAAACTGTTCAGCTCCTTACATTTTTAATACTTTATATTGATAATTTTTGTGGTGAAAAATATCATTCAAAAGATCTAAATCTGATCTCTTTTTGCAGCCTCTAATATTTCCATCAAAATTGATGGCGTGAAAGCATTCACTTTCAAGGAACTGGCTCATGCAACTGACAATTTCAGCAGTTCAGCTATAGTTGGCCAAGGAGGTTATGGGAAGGTTTATAAAGGCATTCTGTCAGATAAAACAGTTGTGGCCATAAAGCGAGTAGACGAAGGTTCTTTACAAGGCCAAAAAGAATTTTTGACTGAGATTGAACTTCTGTCAAGGTTACATCATCGAAATCTAGTCTCATTGGTCGGATACTGCAATGAAGAAGGAGAGCAGGTAAATTCTTAGCTAGTTCTTCCTTATCAACGCCATCTTGCAAATGGTTCTTTTAAAAAGATTTGATTTTTAGTGAGTGAAGCATTTATGTATTGTGTGCGTGTGGCTGTATAATTGATAATAGTAAAATTAGCTTGAGTAAACATTCTTCTAGCAAACTAGCCATTTGAGTCAGAATTTTTCACATGGTAGAGCCCGATTCCTATTTTTTCTTGAACTCCACATGCAGCCTATCTGTCTCCTTTGGGCTGTTTAAGCCCTTTGTTATGTTGGTTCTTTATGTTGATTTGGGTAATCATGTCTATTCTGTTGAGTTTACGTATGAACTGGATTTATCACAAATAAGGCTTCTTGTTATTTAATAAGTGAATTGCATGCTCTTGCTGAGTTCTCTTTAAAGCAGTGATTAGAAAATGAAGTCGGGACAATGAGGACTGTAGTTATTCTAGTTCTGCTATTTTAGCATCTAAAATATTTAGTGTATTTTAGATGTTAGATCATATTAATGAGTCTCATCTACCATTCTGCTGGTTCAGATTCTGGTTTACGAATTCATGCCTAATGGTACCTTGCGGGAGTGGATTTCTGGTATGAAAATGTTGAACTTTCAAATTAACATTTACATGCTCTCAATGTCAAATATAAAATAGGTATCTCTTATATTATTTGTTTTGTGCTTCTTTTCTCTTCCTTTTTTATGTATTCAACTCATCTGTTTTACTCTTCAATTGCAAAACATAGGTTTGCAAGAAGTTGTCTTCACCCCCCCTGTTTTTTAATTATAAATTATCAATGTTAAAGTAATTAACTATAATAGTTCTATAAATCTACCCTGATGTATATGGCTGCGGTGGGTAATGAGAAGAATAATTTTTTCCCTGCAGTTGGAAGGAAACAAAATTTGAATATTGTTATAAACTTACATTTGCGTGACAAATCTAGGCATGAGAGAAAGAAGAAAAAAAACAGGGACTAATTAAATAACATATCTAGAAAAGGAATATGGAAACGGGAAGAAAAGACAGTAAAACTTGAAGTAGAATTGAAGCAGAAGGATAATACACTTAATATGGGCACTCAATCACCATAAATCCTTTATTCCGGTCATCTCAAAGTCAAGTAACAAATGGCACTCTATGATTTTGTAGTTGCAATAAGTCTATTATAACACCGAATGTAAAGTATTGCTTATGTAATGTCATTTCTTGTGATTCCCAATTACCTTCACCATGGAATCTACTGAGCTCTGGTGTTTTTTCTGCTTTAGTAGTATTTATGGGTATTGTTGCATGATAGGCAAAAGGAAGGGAAACCTGAACTTTGGTATGAGGTTGAGGGTTGCAATGGGTGCCTCCAAAGGCATACTGTATCTCCACACTGAGGCTAACCCTCCTATATTCCACCGAGATATAAAAGCTAGCAACATACTTCTGGACCGCACGCTGGTTGCTAAAGTGGCTGACTTTGGACTCTCACGTCTTGCACCAAATATGGATGACGAAGGAAACACGCCTAAATATGTGTCAACAGTTGTGAGAGGAACACCTGTAAGTTTTCTTCAGAAAATTGCAGGAATGACTTAAATTCTATTATTGAGGGCTGGACAGTAATACACACACATGTATGCACATACGTATGTATGTAATTTGGGGGTTTTGTGCAATATTTTTTTTTTTTTTTAAATTTAAAGGGGCAAGCACTAATGGCCTGAGATTACAAATGGGGTCGAACATACAACCTCTCACTTATAGGGGACTTTGTGCAAAATCGGCAGTGTCATTATGAGATTGTTTCGGCTGGCCAACTCCTTCCCTTAGTTGTTTTTATTTTTAATGCTTCTACTTGTGTGTTTGCAGGGATACCTAGATCCTGAGTACTTTTTGACTCATAAGTTAACGGACAAAAGTGATGTTTATAGCTTGGGAATTGTGTTTCTGGAGCTTCTGACAAGCATGCAACCAATATCTCATGGGAAAAACATTGTTCGTGAGGTACCATGTTTAATAGCACCAGTAGACCTCTGTGTTATTTTTTCTCACTTAATCACAACAATGTTAGAAAAAGGATGGTCAAGTTTTAGATACTTTATTTTTCTTTCTTAAATGGTTTAGTTGGATTTTACACTTTTGCAGTATAAGAATAATCAACTTCAAGAACATATTGATTAAAAAGAAAATCAAGAACATCGAAACAGTCACTATTGGTTTGATTTGACTTGAACCCATAACTGAGTCAAAAATCAGTGTTGATGTTGAAAAACTGATTTTTAACTTCATTTTTTTTCAGTTTGATTGGATCTAATTTTTTTGAAATCGGTCAGTTTGGTTTTGAAACTGACAATGCAGAATGTTTTGTCAGGTTAGTGAAGCTCGTCAGTGTGGCACAATATCGTCCATTATAGATAGCAAAATTGGTTCCTATCCATTAGATTGTGCGGAGAAGTTTCTGAATCTTGCCCTCAGTTGTTGCCATGAGGATCCAGAGGAGAGACCATCCATGGCAGATGTGGTGAGGGAGCTTGAGATTATGCTTTCAATGTTGCCAGATTCTGAAACTGCTTTCCCAGACAGTGCTTCTGATTTTCCTATTAAAATGGCTTCATCATCATCAACATCATCGACATCCTACATGGCAAGGGATGGCCAAAACATAACCTCTCCCATGTTGTCAGGAAGCAACCTTGTCAGTGATGTTATTCCCACCATTGCTCCTCGTTAGACATATGATTTTGTAGGAGATCAAAGTTGGAACTAGATCCTCTCACTGCAACAATTCTGCTATCCTCTCCTGTTCAATATTTGGCTCATGCACTTAAATCTAATGGTTGAGAGAACTCAATCCAATAACTATGAGTGCATTGTCAATAAGAACAACATAACCAATGGACCAAATTTCAGACAGGAGAAGACGGTGAACGTACATGGTGTCTTGTGATTTTCTGCATAAACAAATGGGAAAAGGTTCTTAGTCGCGGAAAAGCTGAGGTTGGGGTTGTGGTATAGTGGATGAGGCAAGATGTATTATAGAAGATGTAGATAGGAAATTATGTGATCTTAAGGTAAGTTTGTAGGTAGAAATTCTAACTGTGGCAGTTAACAGATCCAGAATTTTGATGTAATTTTACATGTATCAAATAGAAAGCATGGAATCACATGATTTGAGGGGGTGTTTGGATGGAGACTAAATCATGGTTTTAGAAGTGATTTTACGATAAACAAAACAAATATGTAAAGAAGTTTATCTCGATTTGTGGAGAAGTGTTTTTAAAAAGCACTTCTTTTAATTCCCAAACACTCCTTGGGAAATTTTTTTTTTTTAAGGTTAATTATGCACTAGATTTTCATCTTCTAAACTTGATTTCATTTAAGCCCCTCTTAAACAACCCCCCCCCCCAAAAAAAAAGCCCTTACTATAAAATTACTTTGTGATTTCATTTAAGCCATCTCTGTTTTAATATGGTTAAAATATATATATGTAAATAAATAAAAATATTAAAACTAGGTGGTTTGAAGTCAAACTCCCAACACGACCAAAATGATTTCCAGCTCAGCTTGACTAGTAGGAGCCAACAAAATTGGATACACTAAGCCAAACAACATGATCTTAGACAACTGGACCCAATTTTATCAATTTATTAATATGATTTATTAGTATTTATCTTAAAACATGGCGATAGAATCTTTTGACTTTTCCCTCTAACGAATAAGTCCAAGATACATTAATTAGATCACAGATGGAGAGGAAACTGTGGAGGGGCTACAAAATTAAGAAAAATCAGATCTCTGTTAATCAGTGGTCCAAAAATGTAACCACCAATTGATTCAAGTGATCTTATTTAAGTATTATTGAATCTTGTATGTAGAGAAAATGATCGCAAGTAGAACTTTACAACCCATTATATGATTTGGTTTAATTCAGATTAATCATATATCACCTAATGTTCTTCTGAAAAAAACAAAAAAGAAGAATGCAAGCAAATTTTAAATTAATTTATGCTAAAGTGTATAATCATCATTATAAAATATTAAATTTACCAAAAAAAATTACGCTATTCATTTAGCATTAATAATTTTAAGGAAAATTAGTCAAAAGTCTCTTATTAGAAAATTAATAGTTCAAAGGCATCCAGGATCTATTTAAAAAACTAAGTGCAATCTGTCTCCAGCGAATGCAACTTTTTTTTAGTTATGTGCAATTTATTTTTAATTATGTGTGAAACAGAAGGTATTTGCACTGTAGATATGTTGTACAAAACTAAAGCTAAAGAAGAAATGCTCTTGCTCAAAGATTTGGGTGTATCTTCCTACAATTAATTTTTTAATCAGGAATTTGTGTCACCAATTTTCTCCTAATCTCATGCCATCTTAGATGGAACACAAAAAGAAAGTGAAAAAGGACAAAAAATGGGCCAATGAATAGCTTGATACATGGAAGTGGAATTCCCAGAGTCATTTCATAAAGTTCTTCTGAACTAAATTTTATTCATTAGATGTAAGGAAAGGTACTCTCTCCGGTCAAAAAAAAGGAAAGGTACTCTCCATTTGTGGGACTATACTTCAAAAAGCCCGTCTTACCCTTCAACCAATAGAAAATACTATCTTCAATCCTAATTATAAGAGCCAGTTAACTAATTTGAGGAGATTAAGGAAGCAAATTGAGTTAGTTATTTGTCCTAAATAGGTATTGTTTTTCCTAAAATATCCTTACTAATCAAGTGTATTGACTAGAACTATCATTATTAGAAGGGCTACTTTGAAAAAAATATATAAATATAAGAGACAAAGTAGATTAGGATCTTATATTTAAAACCAAAATAAAAATCAAATAGGGTCTTATATTAAAGACCGGAAGTAGTATATTTTTAGAACAGATTTTTGGGAGGGTTCAATGTGGTATTCAAAGACCTCCTAAGTTTCCTAGTTTTTTATGGTAGGTTATTCTAGTAATTTTATCAATACTTACTTCTATTGTTTCTCAATTTTAATCATATAAAACATCATTTGGACTTTGGAGAGTTATTTTCTTCCTTTATTTTTTATGCATATCAAACAATAAATTTTTATTTCAATTTCTTTTATATTTCATTTTTTATTTTTCATTAATCCAACCATGTGGTTGAACCGATCTAATTATCATACTTTGGGTTCTTATTATAAGATATATTTTTACATTTTTACATGCTTTAAGAAAAATTGTTATAAGGTTAAAGTTATAAAAAAAAGGAGAATGACAAATAAAGACGATAAACATTGCAAAATCTCAAGTTAAGATTCGTTACAATATTTAAACAAGTTTTGATAATAATTCACTTGGAAATAACAATATATTTTTATAAAAATATCTAATTCAATTTTCACAGTTTTTTTGGACATTTTTCCTATAAACAGATCTAAAGGTTATAATTTTACCATTATTAATTAAAGGAACGTAAAAAGGAAAATGACAGATAAAAACAGTGAAAATTACAAAATTTCAAATAACAAGATATTTTAACACGTTTTGACAATAATTGAATTGCAAATAACAAGATATTTTTTGATTTCTATAATCTTTTTTTTATTATTTCCCCAATGTAAAACTCTGAAGGATAAAAAATGAAAAATCATTAGATACTTTTACATTAAAAAAAATCTTTTAAAATACACTACTAGAGGAGTATATTACCATGATCTTATTATAAGATATCTTTCTCCTTAATATAATACTCTTTATTTAAAACATTAATTTCTTTAAATGTCTTTTGCTACTAATCAAACAATTTTTTCTAATCAATAAATTTAACTATCTTTAGCTGAATATTTATATGTTATCAACTTTCAAAGAAAGTGTTACCATATAGAATACCAAAAAAAAAGAAAAGAAAGAATTATATGGTACTACCTCCGGTCCTTATTATAAGACCCCGTTTGACTTTTTGTTTGGTCCTAATTATAAGACCCCAATCCATTTATCTCTCATATTTATGTATTTTTTCCAAGATAATCCTTCTAATAATGATAGTTCTAGCCAATATACTTAATTAGTAGGGATATTTTAGGAATGACAACACTTATTTATTACAAATAACTAACTTAACTTACTTCCTTAATCTCCTCAAATAAATCAACTGGGTCTTATAATTAGGACCGGAGGTAGTAGTATCAAACTATCAATTTATGTCAACAAGAATCCCTAAATTTCGAAAAGAATATCCGCCACTACCGTTAATTTCTGTGGGTGCCCACCCGAAGGAGGATGATTCTGCACAGTTTCCTGTTTGTACATTCCCTTTTTTCTTTTCTTTATATTTTGTATATACGCTGCGTCCTAGACGGTGGCCAATAGCTACGAAACCGCTTCCCAATTTCTCTGTCAGTTTGAAACAAAACAACGGGCTGTCTTTTTCTCTTTCCTTCTCACTAATCAGCTTCATTTCACATTTGCAATTGCAGCTCCCTTCAAATATCTGTTATACCTTACATCCTTGCGGCGGGTCTTTTCTGTTTAGGTGCGTCTCTTCATTCCCCTCTAGGGTTTTTGCTGATCGTTGTTAGCCTGTGCAATTTGCCCGATCTTTGGGTAATGATCTTTATCTGCAATTACCCTTTTGGAACTGGGTGTTTATTATGGGGCATTATCCTTCAATAACGCAATTATATCTGGTTGTCGTGCTGATCTTTTAATTCCGATTTTGGAGATTGCCCTTGGCTTATAATTGAGTTCCGAAAGTCGCTTTTTTTAAGTATATCTCATGAGGCGAGATTGAGATTCTGAATTTTATGCGAAATTGAGCTTTTAATTTGCTCCTTTTCTCTTCTTTTTTTTTTTGTGGGGTTTTAGCGGAGTTTCATTGGTCATTCATTGTTAGTTTTAAAACAATGTCTTTTCTTATGATCAATATACTTCATGCTTTGATGTCTTTTGGGAGTGTCAATTGGAAGGCACAGGTAACTATGTCTCGATGCTAATCTTTTTCTCAATTATTTAATTGCAGAAAGTTGACCAAGAGGTCTACACTTTGCTGGAAATATTAACTTGTGATTGCTGTGTCCGGACTGCCCTTTGGATGCATTTTTCTTCTTCTTGAGATTATTGACTACCTCATTGCGCTCATAGCATCTTCTTTATGCTATACACTTTGCTGGAAATATTAACTTGTGATTGCTGTGTCTAGACTGCCCTTTGGATGGATTTTTCTTCTTGTTGAGATTGTTGACTATCTCATTGCGCTCATAGCATCTTCTTTATGCTATGAGCTTTTGTCCGGCATCCCTGATTGATCATGGATCACTAGCTTCTAAAGATTTCATTTGGGGCTGTTGACGTAAAGAAAGCCCTGTATCTGTTTACATCTGAAAGAAGAATTTGATTCATATGGCTTGGAATTCAAAGCTGCTGCTATATGTTGGTGTCTTGTTTCTACTGTCCTTCATTCTCTTATTTGGTAATTCAAAAGCCGAAGTTGAACACGAAGTTATACAAAAGATTAGATCTGCTCCACATAAGAATGTAGTAAGCAAGGTTATTGATGGTACTGGTCTAGAGAATTCCCTCGCTCTTGATGAAACCAATAATGTGCTGAGTGATAGGAAAGGTGGAAGCAGTAAAGTTTCTGTTTCAACAGTTGCATTATTCACATTGGCAATGGCGGCTGCAACTGGTCTTGGGGCTGTACCCTTCTTCTTTGTGGAGCTTGATCCACAGTGGGCTGGATTATGCAATGGAATGGCGGCAGGTGTCATGTTGGCTGCAAGTTTTGATCTTGTACAGGAAGGGCAGGATCATGGAGCTGGAAACTGGGTTGTGATTGGGATCCTAGCTGGTGGCATTTTTATTTGGCTATGCAAGAAGGTGAAGTTCTTGCCCATTGTGTTTACCAAATTCATAATTTGTATTGCTTTGAATAAAGTAGTTGAATCAATGCATGTATGCACATATTTTGAAACAGTGGTTCTATTCTGATGCATGAACCTTTTTTCAGTGTTGTTGTGACTGGACATTTTGAAATGCTTCTCAGCTTTTCATAACCTTTGTATGATAATGCCATAAAGGGTGACGTTAGCTTCAAATATATCATTTTAGGGAACACAAGTAGTTATACCGGTAGATCATGTCAGTATTCCTGCATTTTTTTTTTCAAGTGAATGATGACTATATAAAATGTATTTTCCAAAATTTTAAAAAAATTAAAACTGAAAAGAACAGAGTTATTTATCTTTGGCATATCTTTTAGGGGTGAACCAGTCAACTCCAATAATTTTGCGAATTTGGTGATTTGATCATTTGATGAAAGAATTCAATGTCTGTTAATTTCTTGTGTGAATCTTTTCTTTTTCTTATCTTTTGGGATGCACTTAATCATTTAAATCTTGTATCTACATCTATAATTTCATTTTTTCGGTTCATTACATTCTTATTTTGTTCTACATTATCTCCTTGGTTTCAGTATCTTGAGCAATATGGGGAAGTGAGCATGTTGGATATAAAGGGTGCTGATGCAGCCAAAGTGGTTCTAGTTATTGGAATAATGACACTTCATTCTTTCGGAGAGGGTTCTGGGGTGGGCGTCTCCTTTGCTGGCTCAAAAGGTTTCTCTCAAGGTCTGTTGGTTACATTGGCTATTGCTGTACACAACATACCAGAGGGATTAGCTGTGAGCATGGTGCTAGCATCAAGGGGCGTCTCCCCACAGAATGCTATGTTATGGAGTGTGATAACATCTTTACCTCAGGTATTGTTGTTGTTGTTGTTATTAAAAGTTGAATCATCGTGCCTCATAAAGGGATAAAACTTAAGTCAGCCCTATAGAGATATTGGTATGCAACAGAATCAAACTATGACTTGTATAAAGTTGTCAGTTATCATTGCCAAGGTATAATGATGATCTGATCAGATACAATAGCAACTGATAAGATGCAAATTAATGACTCTTTGGCACAACTCAACTATCAAAATTGTTTGTGGACTTAGTTGGGTTTAGCACTGAGGCAGTATTGCCTAACCTGAAAGGATTAGTTTCTCTTTTCAACGTCTTCAATGTTATCTTATCTAATGAAGTCACATCCTGTGTGAGTTCGCCTATACCATGCTGCTTAGACCCATGGGCAGTTAATTTGGAAACACGTATTGATTCTTGATGTGCATGGCAATTTGATCCTGATGGCAATTAATAGTTGTTAAATGGTTGGGTTCTGTAGTAGCATATTAATCATGACCTCATTATAGGTTGATTCAGTGGTGGCTAAGATATTATTGTTAAGGTTGAGCTAGACTGGTAACCACTGACAAGTGGTTATTGAAATTGTAGTTTTTGGCTACGGTCTCTTACCATGTTATGCATGATTTGATGCAGCCAATTGTAGCAGTTCCTTCATTTATGTGTGCTGATGCATTTAGTAAGTTCCTTCCTTTCTGCACGGGATTTGCAGCTGGGTGTATGATCTGGATGGTTGTTGCAGAAGTTCTCCCTGATGCATTCAAGGTGACATACTTTGCATGAGTGTTGGATCTTCTGATCTTTAAAAGTTTCCTTTTTATAACAACTTTGTCTTTATTTTCTCTTTTAATATTCTAATGGACGATAGTAGCATGGTGGCTTTTTGCAACTACGCTTCAAATGCAAGCTTAGGTTTGTCACATGTACTAATTTATTTATTATTATCCTGTCTTCAATCTGAATTATATTAAATATATTCAACATGATTAATATACTATGTGCTACATTTTAATTTAATTTGTGCAAAATTATGGTCGTGCTATGTAACATTTAGGAGACTGGAAGGCTCCCGATTATGTTGAAGACTCTCAAACTTGAATGTTCAAGATGCTCAATAGTTGTGATTAGTGATTTTTGTTAGCTTGTTAACTGGTTTGTATTATGGAGGCTTGGAGTTGCTTCTTTATTGGGAACTTTAGAGGTGATTCAATAGGCAAATGCTTATTGTATAATCCCCCTGCTTCTTGAGGGAACTTTCCTCCTAAGGAATTTTTCCCCTGCGATCCGTATTACACTTCTCATGTTATTTTCTTCCCTCTAACTTTTGTAGAGTCTTATTTTCTTTGTATAATAGTTTTTTGTGCTTTGGATTACAGGAAGCCCCTCCTTCCCAGGTTGCATCAGCAGCAACCCTTTCTGTAGCATTTATGGAAGCTCTCAGTACCTTCTTTCAAAATTTCAGCCACGACTACAAGTGAGTTTATGACAAGGAATAGATTGAATTTATAGCTGTCCACACCACCATTCCGGAGAAGTAACATTTCTGGTTTTTTTTTTCTTTCTCCCCCCTGAAAGTTTAATTTCTTTTGCAGCTCTGAGGATGCTTCTGGCTTCTTTGTTTCATTACTTTTTGGCCTTGGCCCCTTACTCGGAGGCATCATTCTGGTTGCATTTGCTCTTGCCTTTCATCTTCAGCATGCTCTTCTGATGGGCACCGCTTGTGGGATTGCTTTTGTTCTTGGTGCTTGGCGACCAGTACAGCTTCTTTTGTCTTCAAAGTTGGGATTTTTTCCTGTTTTATTCCTCCTTGCAGCAGGGGCTGCTTTCGTCCATGTTTCTAGCTCCAGCGTGTTGAAGGTTGCAGATCGCAAAAAGACCTCAGCTAGTGACTTGCCTGCACTTACTGGGTTCCCAATGAGCGTTCACACCCTTCAATCATTCATTTCATGTGGAACAGTTGCTTTTCATGCTCTAGCTGAAGGACTCGCATTGGGAGTGGCAGCACCAAAAGCATATGGACTTGGCCGTCACATGGTGCTTCCAGTCTCTCTACATGGACTTCCTCGAGGAGCAGCCGTGGCCAGCTGCATCTTTGGTGCTACTGATAGTTGGCATGCTTCCCTTGCAGCAGCCGCCATAATTGGATTTATGGGCCCAACATCAGCAATCGGGGCTATTCTTGCCGGTATAGATTATAGCGGTCTTGACCATGTTATGGTCTTTGCTTGTGGCGGATTAATCCCAGGTTTTGGAAATATGGTTAAGAGAGCACTGAGTTTGGAAAAAAGTAAAAGTACCTGCGGCCTTATTATGGGTATGGGTTTTGCTATTTTATGTCTGACATTCACTAGGTTGGTTTGCTTGCATACACCTTACTGCAATTCTGCACCAGAAGCTGTCAGATAGGATGATTGTGGTGCATCATCTATTGTTAATGTTCTTATACAACAGGCGTATAGAACTCTTCGAATTGATCACCCAAGTTCTCAGCCATTAAGTGTGAAGAGATTTGTAGTTGTGTCTAGTTTTATTGACCAACGGAGACTGCAGAGATTGGAATCTGCCATTTATACTGGAGCTGTCCTTTTTGGGGGCTCTAAAGAAGCTAACGGGTAACACTTTTTGGTGTTGAGGCAGGTTTGTTAGGGGTGCTCAAGTTTCCATACAGAACCTGACGTTTGTCGTATTTAGCTTTTACGATGTATATATAGTTTTGAGATTTTATTGATCTGAACCCTAATTTCCTACAATATGATGAACAAAGTAAAACTCGGGAAGTCAGCAGATTCTGATTCTTTTTCCCCTCGTTAGACTGGATGGTGTTATACCCGGATAACTAGGGTTTTGAGTGGATTAAATCAATATATTGTTTGTATACAGCTATACATTTGACAATATGATAGTAAATAGATTTAAGCGAGATTTATAAAATCTTATAAAATTCTATCATGATATATTAGATTTATTCTTGACGTAATTAAAATTCAGTTTGGTTGGGTTCCCTTATTTTAAATGCACAAGATGATTAAAAATTCATTTGAATTACATGCAATCCCGAAAAAATCAATAATAAGTATTTTTCAAAAGAATAATGCGGTACAAAATTGTGTATTGTAATACACACACGTTGTGTGCATGTGATTTATTATGTGTTAATATATTAACTAGATGTTAAACTCTAAAAAGTGTGTGCGTGCACATGCTAATATATATTAATATATTAACTGGATGTGATTTTTTAATGATATTTTATTTTAATATTATTTAATTCATCCAGAAAAAAGTTCTGCTAGCTACAAAATAAACCCATTCATCCGCATCCAGGGCTCGAGGTGAACTACTCACTCTGGCTAGTTCATCTACAAATGATACCCAGAAATGAAAGCCTCTCATAGCCTGACATGTCTCAAGGTACTAATCTTTGATCCTTCTTCACTTTGATATCGATCGGTTGGTCTGCAAATCCTCTTCTCTGCCCTCCAAACTCTCCTTCTCTGCCGCAGTAGCTAATGGCTTCTGTTGTTTTGACACACTCTGTGAACCAGTCATCCTCGCCAGGATCACAAACGACATGCCTCCAAGAACATTGTTCATACATCTCAGTACAAACACAGATGATTTGAATGCCAATGGAGGAAGCCCTTTCTCCAACACAAACTCAATCCCATTAAGAGTTTGGTACCTCAGATTGCTGCTAACTCCCATGTGAGTCGCCCATGTGAGAGCATTCAACAGTGTTGGAGGCGGCTTGTTTGGAGTCTCAAAGTTTGGATCCATCTTCTTTCTGATCTTGATTAACCCATTTGAAATTGCAGTTCCCACAAGCCCAGCTGCAAACCCAACTGCTGCAAACAAAGCTCCTTTGTACACTAGTGTGCCACATCGATCAAGGATCCCATAGGCACCTGGTTCAAACATGTGGCTCTTAGGGCAGCTTGCAAAGATTGAAGGTAGGTTTGAGGATGAAGAAGCCATAGTGGGTGCTAATAGGTACATGAGGGTGAAATTCAGAATTGATCCAACGACAAGTGTAGAGAAAACAAAATCAAGCTCGTTCAATCCGAAATTTGGACGAGAAGCCATGTCTCCGATGACACAAGCGGTCACACCCACCAATTCCTCCATCAGAACCTTGAACGGAAATTGCGGATCGGCGGCAACCCTCGATCTCCATCCGGCCAGAAACATACCCAGAATACCGAGTCCCTGAGACGACGATGAAGATGCATCATCGGAATCCCCATCGTTGCCCCAATCTCCTCTGCCGCCGTCGCCTCCTCCGCGCCCAACTCCGTCGCTACCATCACCACCGGCGAATGAAATTTGCAGATTCTCCGGCAAACTGGGCTCGTAGACCTTTGGGTTGATGAGAGACAGAGATCGATTTTGAGAGTGGAAAGAAGATCCAAACGAAATAACGGCACGGGGATTGAATGCTCGAGCGTCTGAAATGGTGTGGTAGGAGCCAGAGAGAGGAGAAAAACGAAGCTGAGCCATGGCTGCCATGGTGGTTCGGTTCAACTCCACGATCTGCACCACAGAGATAACAAATCAATACACTTGAATAGCTAAAAAAGAAGACAGATTTTGAAAAATTAGCATAAGAACATCGTTCCCAGATCATGAACAAGAACAAGAACAAAAACAAAAACTAGACAATGATAGCAAAGATTCACAATTAAACAGAGAAAAGTAATAAGATTGGGAAAAGGGAAAGCACCTGAAGGTGAGAGAATGACAGTGTGGAATAGCAAAGGTGAAGACGAAGAGTGTGATGGATTGAGGCGAATGTGAGTGAGAAACGCTGAATCGGAAACTAAAACCTCAAAACCCTTTTAAACTCGCAGGTTTTGATCGCTGGAACCCTACGCTGAAAGCGAAAAGCACCTTTCCAACTACAAAACAGAATACTGATACTTTTCATATTACATTATTTGATCATGTGATTTTTTTTTTTCGTGGGAAAAATTGGGAATAATAAATTTCTATTTTAAAATTAATTAATAAATAGTTTTAAGATAATGAATTGCAGAACAGAAGATAATTGCACACAATAAAAATTAAAATTATAAAAAAAAACAGATGATTTGTACAAAACATTATTTAGGTATAATTGACTAATTTAGATTATACATAAAGGTTAAGTTGCATAAAGCTTTAAGAATTATCTGTCAATTAATTTTTTAACGAGTGATTTATTTCTTAATTTTTTCTGTTTTAATTTTTTTTCCTCCAAGGTCTCTTATATTATTTCATAAAATAATAATTTTTAAGAATTTTAGAGGAATTAAGTTTATTTCGACAGATTAAATTTTATTTTTATTTTTAAAACGAATATTTTATTTGAATAAAATATATTCCCTCTGTTTCATATCTTTTGTTGGTTCCTTCAAGGATGTCCAATAAAATATCTTTTCTTGTTTAATGGTGCGGCATATGAATTAAGGAAGTTTGACTTGGTACTGCTTCTATTATAAATATAAGATATTCAAGATCTCATATAATATTATTTTCGTCTTAAAAATAAAACTCATTATTTAATTTTTTTTATTTTTGCTCTTAAATATTTTCATTTTGAAGATTGAGTTCGTAAATTATTTTAAAATGGAGGACTGAAGGTTTTACCTCTTTTAGTCACTATTTTAGTAAGAGTAAAATGAAAAATTTTGGGTTGGCACAAAAGATGAAATTTTGGGCAACTTCTTTTTTTAATAAGTTTAACAATGTAATGGACTTTCTTTAATTAATACTTGGCTGTTCCTTAAAAACAAGAAGACATAATTAACAAATTTATAAAAATTAATAAAATTAGTTATTTGTCATTGTGCAAAAAAAAAAGTATAACTTTTTCTAATCAGAAAAAAAAAAAAACACAAAGTTCTGCAAGCGTGGGAGTTGCCACTGGGGATTTCCAAAGCAAAGACATCTGGATGAATATGGATGGGTTTCAAGGCTTTGTTCATCCTCGCCATTATGATCATATCTCTTTCCACGTAGTGAGTCTAATAATGACCCAATGAGTTTACCTTAATGATTAACATCTCTAAACATGTAATTAAATCATTTTTAACACATTTTATTATAATCAAAGAAAACTTTAAGTCTCTTTCATTCAAAAAAGAAGAAGAAGAAAACTTTAAGTCTCATTAATTATGTTTTAAAAATTACTAATTTCTCAGTTTTACTCATATTTAATGTGCACTTTATTTTGAGAGTACAAAGTTTATACAATATTAAATGAAAAATAAAATTGTAAGTTTTTGTTTTTTTTATCAACACACTATAAACAGTAAAAGAAAAATACTGATATCTCATTTTGCTTTTGTTTTACCCAAATGCTGTGATGAGAATGATTTTAAGTTTATACTAAAATTATTCTTACAAATTAACGACTTCAATCCCTTGTGAAACGTGAAATTTTTCCCCCCTAAACGCAAAAGTGAAATTGTTTATGCTTCTAAGAGGGTGTTTGAGATTGTATAAAAATGCTCTTTAAAAGTATTTTTTTTTATAAAATGAGACAAATTCATCTATATATTTACTTCGTATATCGTAAAAATATTTTTAAAACTATAGTTCGATTTCCATCAAAACATCTCCTAAAACTGTTCTCTTTCTCATTGCTGTACTCGTCTTATTTTCTTTCTTAATAACATTCTTCTCCCTCTTGCTGCAACTTGGGGTAGCTCTCCTAACATGTATTTTTAACAATATTGACTTGCAAACTATCAGACAAGCAACTTCCTAGAGAAATGTTTTTGTCTTCTCATATGTAGGCCATGCTTTGATCTTTGTCCAAAATGGCGAGATATCATTTTCATTGGTCTTACTGATAACCTCGTAGGCTTGATTTAATTCAAAAACCAAAAACTTGTCCACCCATTATTTGGATATCTCCAACGTATCAGTATCCTCTTATCTGATTGGATCTAGAGATTTAATTAAGATGAATTGTTTGATCACCTCAAGATCAGTGGAATGACTCTCTTTTTCTTTCTTTCTTCATTTCATATGCCACAGCCCTGTGGGAGTTCTGAAATCAATGGCTCTTCCTTGAAAATAGTGTGGTCCGAGAAGATATGCCCTTTAAAGTAAAGATATTTACTCATAAGGACTAACCATATCAGCTAATACCAGCTGATTCAAAAATCACAGTCCAAACTGTTCACCAAAAAAGAGAAATCATAGTCCAAACTCATCAAATAGATAAGCATGAAGCTCATCATAATCTGAATTATCCGAATTGATTTTGGATGGTCCATATTCAATTTTTTTTTTCATGTTTTAAATGATTTTTAATTTTAACAAATACAGAATTCAAAATTTGGGGTAACACTGCTTGGAGAAAAATTATCATTAAAAATTGCAAATTAAAATCAGATGATACTGAATGAGAATCCATCATCCCATCCGATCCGACCCGCTATTCTTGTTCAGGCAATACCTGAATCAACATTTTCAGCCCAAAAAACCAAAAACCTGAATCAACATTGTTCTCCTTTCCAAGCCTCTATCTGGCTCCTGCTTTATTTCCTTCAATTTCTCAACATGACGATGAGACAGTGAAAATGGCCAGGGCATTATTTTTTCCGCATCCACAAGTCTATCTGATTACTCTGTCTCATGCACACAAGTGGAGAGAAAACACAAATCACTGTTCATTTCAAATCTTCCTGCTTCTAGAATTGGATGCTACGCTGTACACCGATTTCCAATAGGCTCTCAGCAATAATTCTTGAACTTGTACAATTACCCTGCAGACTGCTTCTGAAAAATTCTTAGCATCCAACCAATTTTAGGAGTCCTCACAATAACCGGAAGTAATAGAATTATCAGCACGCATTGCAATTCGCAGCCATGCCTCTAAAATTCGGCTCCATTAGGAGAGACGATTGTCATTCAAAAATAAAGTTTACATGTTACACATACTACTACTAATTTGGTTCATAGGGTTCCAAGGGAACAATACTTTTCTACACTTATTTGGGCTAACATACTGGATTCAAATATCAGGACTATATAACAGTTAAACAACAACCACACAACTTTTTTACATGCTACTGACCGGAGCAGACCATCATCTTGGCTGATAAGTGACCACAATGATTATATGCCATTTCTTCAATCGCCACATGACCGATGTTCTGCAGAACTATTTACCCTAAATACATTATCTATCGGGCACAACCGTACCTTAATCATTAACTTCCCTGCTTACCTTTTTACGATCTTATTTCCCACCTTGCATGACTCGGAAATCCAGTTGATTACTAGAGGTTGTTCCCTATTTATTTATTGCTCCTCTCGATTCAAAAGATTAGAGCAATCTACTTGATTGTGATATAGCGGTTTGTGCCATGTTTGGCCCAATGGTCCTTCAGGTCAACTGGGTTAGACAGATCATGGCCCTCTGCTGCAAGCCGGCTAAGCAGCTTATTGAAAGCGCCTCCACTCATCTTTCGCCCACCAACCCTAGCATGCCTCTTGTTGGGTACAGCTGGAAGTGGATACATTGACAGAGTTGTTGTGCAACAAGCAGACTGCCAGCCCCCATTACCCCATTTGTAGCACTGTCTCAGAACACCGGTACAAGAGCATACAGGTGCTGGCATTGTTGACTCGTCATACACTACCTGGTTCAACCCCAAGTCTTGACCTTTCCAATCTGCCTTCGATGACCCTAACTGCTTGTTAAGATCATCACCTCCATTAACCATGTCCTGACCACTCTTCCACTCATGGCCCTTGCCAAACATCATCTTATTTAAGTCTTCACCCTCCCTCTTGACCTTTTTTGCAGCTCTTGGTGCCTTCTTACTAGGTGAAACTGACTTACCATCCTTTGGTCGCTTGGCCCTCCGTGATTTCCCTGTTTCATTAGGCATGGACGCTGTTGGAAGGTCATCACCAGTGTGTATTTCCCGTGTGCTGTAAGAAGTATCACCCATATGAGGTAAATGGTGTACTTGTTGCTGAGGATGATGCACATGCTTGACACCTCGGGCAATTTGGCATCCTGGAGGACAAGAAGACATGCTACCATTGGCTATGGAGTTCTCTCGATACTGAAGGGTAGCAATTGCATTATCTCGTTCCATAATGGCATTGTTCCGTTCTGCGATGGCAGTATCTCGTTGCAAGAATGCCATATCACGCTCTGCCATGGCTGCCTTTTTTTCAGAAAGGGCTAGATTTCTCTCTTGAATGGCTGCATCTCTTTCAGCCATAATTGCCATAATTTGCTTCATCGAAGGTTGATGTTGCATCAACCACTGCAACAAGAATACGGAGATCAATATAATTAAAGACGAATTTTTTGGAAGGAAATACATGCCACACTAAGCAACTAGTACTTCATGCAAACTTCAACAGGTGAGTACGTCAAATGAGCAGAAAGTTATTTCAATATACCTGTCCCTGAGCTGATTTATATTGATCAGCTTTGTGCCTCCCATTTTCACGATGCCCAGCATCATCCATCAGAAACCCACAAATGGACACAAAAGGTAAATACTTTTCTAGGCCTTCTCAACCAGCATAGAATGTGGTCTATTCAGCAATAATATGCTACAAGTCCTGCATATAAAAAAAATATACACACACTATTACTAACATAATTTAAGCATCTCTTTCCTGCTTCTGTTTTCTTGGGGTCATGGGGCTCGAGGGAAAATGAATTTCCCATTCGACAAACCTACACCTCTAGAGCGGAAAAAAATGACTGCTTCAGAGATTGAATAACTTACCATGATTATAGATAGATATAATAAAAGAAAAAGATGAATGCACAACTGATTAAAATTTCCCCTGCATATAAGAATACAACATACGTAAGTTAAAAATGAAGCACAAGTATTCCAACTTGCAAATGACGCTACCTATATAGGAATGCAACATGCATAGGAGGGCAGAGTTACAGAGATATCTATTATGGTGTGTTAGGTTACTTCCATCCAAGCATTAGAGTGCAAGAGTTGTCAAAAAACATTTCCAAAGCATGAAATTATTTAGAGTAATTTACATGCTACGAAATTTAGGGTGCAGACCTTTAATTTAAGGTCATCTGTGGTTGCATTGAGGTAAACGGATTTCGTTTTAAAGGAGTAAAAGATATGCAATATCATATATTTATTTATCATCATTCAATAATTTTAAATCTCTTTTTCTTTTTTTCTCAAAACCCAGGCGCGAGAATTATTCCTTACCACAAAATACTTTTTTTCATTATATTTTTCTTTCCATTCCATACCATTCTATGCGCCAGACATCTTACTAAATACCCTCTATTCACGAGACTTGACACAGTTGATACTCAACAAGCAACAACAAAACGCACAAAATAAGAAATATTAACAATGGATGAATAAAGCATGAAACAGTTGTGGAAAAGGAGAGGAGAGGCTGACTGATCCGCAGTTCGATTCTCATGTATTGAACACAAAATGCATGATAAAGACTGTAAATTGTGGAACTAAGGAGCGTAAACAATTAACTGACAAACGTCCCTATTGTACTTTACTTACAACTGCCCGGTCCAAAAAGGTCAAATTCTGTTTCTAAACTTAACTTATTGGCAGGAATGAGAGTTTCAAATGATATATTATAATTTCAGGGCAGCGATTGTTCTATTTCATAGATTAGTCAATAGTTAATGGCGATTGACCTTATATTTGAGGTGTTGATTCAAAATTAAGCCGCAAATCGAAAATAAACAGCTGGAAGGGTGAGTGCAATAAAAGCATGTCATGTAATACAATGACTCTATCCGAAAACTACTTCATGTAGTACAATGCCTATGCAGTGAACAACTTGGTATGTTGTTGTCCTTTTTTTTTTTTGGGGGGGGGGGGGTTGTAAAAATAAAAGGGGTAATCATGGTTTGAAGGAATTTATCGAGATGAACAGGATAGCAGTAAAACAGCATATGAAGAAGAGGGGAAGGAACAGGGGACGGGAAGAAAATTGTTGCTAAAGGTTCAGCTACCATTGCCTTGCTTCGTCAACTGCTCTAACGTCTCTATTCTCTGTGTGCATATTTAATAAGCAACTTAAACTTACGGCAAATGAGCAGATGTGTGATTGAAGATCAATAACGAAGTAGACAAAGCAAAGTTGCTTACTGTGTACCATAAATCTTAACCATTTCCCTCTTTCTCTGAACGTCAACGGTGAACCTATCGAAGTCAAATGCATTTCTATTTTCCCAATTTGATAATAATAATCAAAAACCAGTTTGGATCAGGTCCTCCCTCTAGTCCCAGAGCTAAGGAAGGTCCAAATTCGATTAACATGAAACTCAAATTGCTCAAAACGTCGCATCTGAACAATCTGAAGTTGAGAACCGATCAATTGCGTGAAGTTCCAAATTCGATCAACAAAAATTATGAATTATTTGAAACCGACGCATCAGAACTACGGTATGAGTTAAGAACAAGTCAATCATGTAGAATGATAGCAGTTTGGAAACCGGAAGCGAATCTCGCAAACAATCCACAAAATAAGCTTTAATTTACACAATTATAAGTTTATAACATAACAAAGAAACCAAAGAAGGAAAAACTATAAGATAACAAACATATCTATAGTTTTAAGTTGTTTGGAGACGAGAAGTAAGAGAGGAACGCGAGTCCACGCAAAAAACTATGGATTCAGAGCTTGAGTGTAGCAGGTATCGAGACCAGCAAGAGAAAATCAAAAGACAAAAAGCAAACTATTACAGAAAGACAAGAAAAGAGAATAAAAGAAACTTACGAGACGAGCAGGAAGATAGAGAGAAGAATGATTAAAGACACAGACTGAAAACCCTAATCTCCGTGGAAGAAAGGCGACAAATTTTGCTTTCACTTTTTCACTTGTTTCTTCTGTCTATGCAAATTTTCCCCCATTATTGCTTTTTTGGTTTTTCACTTTTAGTTTTATTCTGTGGGCGTACAGTTTTTCACAAAGCAGAACTATTTAAGAGTTACTTGCAAGCAAGTAAGAAAGTAAGTGGCGGGGACTGCACGCGCCGGGTCGGATTAAGACAAGCACAAAGAAACCGCACCACAATACAATAACCAGTAAGAATACGACTCCGATGAAGAAGAAGAAGAAGACATCCGATTAAAAAGGAAAAGGTTTTTACATTTCCCCGTGCTTTTATCACTTTCTTGTTTTGTTGATAAAATTAAAAATACATCTAGGCGAAAATCAAGAAACAGTCTTCACTTCACCAAGGGGCTGAATCAAACATTTTGTTGAAGAGAAAATTGAGCATCCAGTTGAACGATTGAGAGATATGAATCGAGAGTAAGGGAGGGAGGGAAGGATGGAAAATCTCAGTGACAATAAATTAATTTACAGCTGTCACTCACCGATGTAGATGAATCGAACAGTTTGGCCAGAAAATGGCGAAAGGGAAAGCGGTAAGACGACGACAAGCACGAGCTGCGACTAAACGACAACGCGGCAGAGGAAGGGGGGAAGGGGAGAGGCGACGTCTCTGACAAGTGACTTCTGGAGTTCGAAGCCACTGGACTCCGACGGCGGCCGGAAGATGGCGACGGTGCACGGAGCAGTTGGTGGAGCGCGACGGCGAGAAAGAGAATGGAAGGCCGATGTGTGTCTACGTGGTGCGAAATGAAGAGGCCGATGAGGAATTGAGGAAAGAGGATTGCAACGCAGCGTATTGCAAAACTCAAGACGGCTGAGTTGACCGAGTCGAGTGGTTAATAATTACTAGTCAACAAGTCAACTAGAATTAAATTCCGGTTTAAATGAAATGAAGTTAAAAGTATAAGTCAAATAACTAATTTTATCACAAAAATCACATTACTTTCCAATTTTACCTCTTGACCGGACATTTAATTGCAAGTCATGATAAATGATGAACATGAAAAGAATTTAATGCAGGTCTTGGATTTTTTTTTATAGACATAGATATTTTTCTATGAAAAGTAATTATATCTGAGGTACTGTCATTTTAAAATTATACTGTGTAGTTGTAAAATTAAGATTAAAATACCCTTATTTATTAGAATGTTTTAAGATAAATATTTCTCATTTAGCGAAAGATAAAATTGTTAGCAACGAACTTATTACTTTGAATCGTTAAAATTATTATATTTTATATTTATTATTTTTCAATCTGTTAAAAAAAATTTTTATCTACATTAAGTAGTTAAAAAGTAGCTTCCTGCTAAGATGCTCTTAAGAAGTGAAATATCCATTACGTTGGTGTATTTTTTTTAACCTTTAAATCCTTCTAGGCTTTTACTTTGAAAGGGTCTCTCCCTAACTATCATTTTTTCTCCCAAGAAAAATTATCGTTATATTACTTGATAATGTAATATGTATGATGATGCCATATACTCCTTATTAATTCATCACATCTCGTTTTAATAGCTATTCAACAATATCAATATTTTTTTATTATTTTTATGCAATTGCTTTTTTTTGTAAAAAAAAAATTAGATGAGTTAGGTCTAAGGGTTATGATCTTGTAAGTTTTGAGTCGACTTCTTACCAATCAAACCAATACTTGTTGTTTAGGTAATTGTTTTTGTTACAAGAAAAAATTGTTAGAGTTCCAAGTAAATAATATAATTACTAAAAGTCAACAAAATGAATGATAAGTTCTAGAGTACTCTTTTCGTCCTTTATTATCATATCCACTTTTTTGAATAGATTTTTCCCTTTTTATAATATCCCTTTTGAGTTTGTCTGAACATTTAATGTATTATTACCTATTTTACCCATAGTTTAATGCATTTAATACATTCTTTTTCTTTATTTATCTCATTATTACTCTTTCACATTTACCCATTTATGTATAGGGGTATACTTGGAAAAACAATTACATTTGCTATATATTAATTGCTTTTAACTAATTTTAACTGTTTTCTTAAACCATGCAATTTCGTTAAAAAGATCTTATAATAAGAGACGGAGTAGTATTAAATAATAACTGTTCACTTGTTATTGGAATTTACTAATAATTATTTTTTTTCTTAAAACCTCGGTAAAATTCTCCAATACGTTGAAATGGATTGAAATCTTTTGACCGATCCACCTTAAAAAGCTACATTAAAATGTAACTTGTTCACTGTGTTTGTGAGCCATGAAATCAGACTTCAAGCACTGGAATATTTCATTAATCTAAAAACACTCCCATTTATTATGAAGTATTAAAAATAAGAAATAAAAATTAGAATTAAGATTCAAAAAATATTGAGTAAAATACTCTGACCTCCATTTTGTTTTGTCTTAATTATATAGACATTTCCTCTATTTTGATAACATACATTTTAGTCTAAACCATTAATATTGTTAAAGAATATTCTGAAAAGATTCTTTACATAAGTTTTTTAATTAAAAAATATTAGAATAAATCTTGTTTCCTACTTTATCCCTCATTATTTAAATATGTAGTTTATCTTTTATTATTAATATGTATTAATAATCTCTTTGATATTTTTACTAAATTTAATAAATTAAGACATAACTTTATAATTTTATTGAAAATACATATATACAATTATAAAATATTTTTTACTAATATATATTTAAAAAATTAACATCACAAGTAAGTTTACATAAATAAACAAGATTTATTGTGAAATAAAAATTTGTATTTATAAAATTAATAAAATTTATACTGTGGTAATAATTCAATAGTATAACAAAAAATATTAAAATATTTGTTAAAATTATTTTTAGTTTCAAATAAAGATGTACAATATGTTATTAAATGATAATTATTAAGTAATATTTGTATTAAGAAGGGAGAATTTGGTCAAAACAATAGGTCAATATTTTGATTTAACAGTCAACTAACAGATAGGTGGATAAGAGTTGAATCTCAAAACCAGAGAGAAAGTTTGTGTAATATATATTTTGATTTTAAGGGAAGTCTATATAAGTTTCCAAAATAAAAAAGAAGTCTTTGTAATTTAGGTTAAATAGAAAAGACGTTGGTGTATTTTACTCAAAAATTTATTGAAAGAGTGTTTAACATGAGATATTTTTTGTTACATGAGATTAAACAAACTCATGTATGAAATTAGAAAATACCATGAGGAAAAATAGTATCTCTCAAACGCACTTTTATGAGTTTATCTAATCTCGTAAAACAAACAATGACTTATGTTAAATACTTTTTAATAATTTTTCTCGATTATAATTCCAATCCCCATTCCTTATTTTCAATATTTCATACCAAATGGGACCCATGAGTAATCCTAGATTCCATGGCATCACCTCCCTTATGGATTGACGATAGAAAAAGAATAACCAATATCAATATTTTGAGATATACTAATACAAGTTCAATTTTTTTATCAAAAAAAAAAAAACACTACTCATATATCGTGACTAATCAATAATCATTCTTCCTCCCAAGTATTTATAGGAAGCCATATCCGAGCTCGTTGGAATGCTTGGACCGAGTCATTATGGTGACCAGTTGGTGTAAAGCCATACTTTAAACATAAAAATCAAAACTTTTGGCCAAGAATTATATACATACAATAAACAAAAAAACCACTTTTTTTTTTTTTGGGTTTTCCTTCATCTTCGGTACATTCTAAGATATTCACCTGACATGCATCGTTCCAATGGTAACAGAATACAAATTGCTTGTGACAGACAACTAAAAAGAACCCACCCCTATGCTTCCTCATATAGATACATATATTATAAATCATAAACACTTGACATGCCTCACAAAACTGCTCAGACCCTAAACACCTTCACCACCACATGTATTCCCCACACTTCTCAAAGGTAAATCTAACACAAGAATAAATCCAATGAATGTATTAAGTTTCTGGGGAGTTGAAAAAAAAGGAGGATAAAAGACTGATCTAAACAGACCTAGTTTCATCTCAATACCCAACTATATGACTTGTTTTAATCTTCTTTTTCCAACTTTGTTCAAAATGGACCAAAACCACCAGAATGCTAGCAGCAAGAATTGCGTTAGCCTGTGCTTTTTGTAGCCGCTTGCATCGGTTGAAAATGTACTAAACGACGTCAAGATAAGCATTTTTAGACAAATAGTAAGATAGAGAGACCTCTCAGCGACCTGTTTTTGCACGTTTCATTCCACTAGAATTGAATGGAGATACACTACCACTTGGTCCAGGACTCTCTTCTCTGAAATTTGAATTCAGCATAGCTAGTTCACGCAACTGCTGCCTCTTAATGTAGTCTTGTGACTCATCCTGCAGATATATGGAACATTCACATCTCAGCAAACAGATGAACAACTTTTTCGCATATGAGATCACTCCGCAATCTTCTATGATAGTAATTTAACCCACAAACTCAAGCTCAAACAAAGAAGCAAACCATGGCATCCATACCCAAAGAAAGAAAAAGGATAAGAGTTAGGTGCAATCATTTTGGGAGTATTTTTCCAAGTCGCATCAGATCCAATAGTCTGAAAGTAAAATTTGATTTTCAGCACTTTAAATAAGGGAAATACTTGTTTGAGTAATATTTCTCCTAGTCTAAAATGGATTGAGAATTTAAGAGAAGGGTGAGGTTTTGCTAAAAATAGAATCATTAGGTAACAATTTGTTCTTATCCCAGGGGTGAAATCTGGATATTGAGTAGTTGAAATCAAGTGTTTGGATTAGCTTTTTAGAAGTAATTTTACAGTGTACGAAGTAAGCATGTGAGAAGAATTGGAAACATCTTTTTTAAGTGCTTATAATGTTTTCCAAACACCTGGGTTTGGGCACAACAGACAAGCATTGGATTACAAGGGATCCTGGATAGTTGTAATTAGTGAAGAGGATGTTACAATTTTTTTTTTTTTTTGCCCCAAAATTATATGTACAGAAGGTTTCATAATTTTTTATTGGAAAACATTATAACAACCTAAGGAACCTTGGTAACGTCTTGTCCAAAGTAATCGTCCAAAATAACAAAAACTAAAATAAACTTGTGTCTTGATATTTGCTTGAAAACTTAAAAGCTTTTGTGAATCAGAATAAAAACCTGATTACTTCACATCACACAAGGTGACAAGGCTATAGGAGACGGTGCTTACCACAGGTTTGAGCAATTCTTCTATAATTTCCTGTGCCTGTCTAAGCCTTAAGTCAACAATACTTGCAGGTAAATCAGCCTCAATCAAAATGTGCAGTGGTTCATTGAGATGTTCATAGCCTGGTCTTCCTCTTAATTTCTCTTCCTGAAGATTGACAGAGAAGACTATGATTAAGCACACAATAAAGTCATTTTCAGAGTTTAACAACTGTGAATAATATACAGCGATGCATCAATAAAGGCACCGTCTTTGTCAGCAATTTCCACTATTAGACTAGGGAAATGATATCTGGTTGTTCATTACCTTGTCTGGATCCTTTATTGATCCTTTTCCTCTAATATACACACGGCATCCTGTACTAACTTCTACACGTTTCAGAGAATTGCCCCTAGGTCCCAGAAGTCTTCCAACAAAGTTGAACTAACACAAAAAATGAGCAATATACTTCAACAGATGTAGATGATTGGACTTCCCGTTTCGGAAGAGGCATAGCACTGGTGTGTGATCAAGTATTACAAGACAAGTTTGAGCAATTGGAATGCGTATAAACTTACATTGGGGTATGTATCTACTGGAATGTCCAATCGCAAGATCCTCTTAACAGTAATCGAACTAGGACTTGCTGGTGCTCCACCTTGCCAGTCCATTGTCATTCCAGTCGGCCCACAAAATCTCTACTTGGCAAAGAAGGTAATGTCATTTCAGATGTATAGGGAGTTCACAGAGGGCACAAGATGAATATGTGACGAATGATGAAAAAATGACAGCCTTTCGCTATAAAAATGAATTCAGCAACGCTCTTGCAATCCACAAAATCTCTCCTTTACAGAGCAAGTAATGTCATCCCAGATGTACAGGACTCCATATAGAGCAGAAAATGAACCATCTAAGGAACCAAAAAAATATGACAGCCTTTTACTGCAAAAATGGATTCTGCAATGAACTTAGTATTCCAAATCCTGGTGTCCTCAAAACAGAATTTCTTAGTGGTTTGCTATAAACAATAAGGCAAACAGCAATAAATCGAAATGCAGAGTTTGACTAAAGGAGGTAGTGCCACAGTCTTCTTCAGGTCATATAGCTCAGTTTTATGGCTAATAATATGATAAGTCTTCTTCAGGTCAACACATCTCATTTGGCACTTTCTGACCCCATGATGTTGTCAAAATTAGAAACAATCATGAGAAGGAAAGAGTCACTCCATCAGTATGCTCAGGCAATATGCAAACACAGTACCAAGTTAATGAATTAAGCATTTGTTTATTCATTTACATTTTTTTCAATGTCCATCACCTTTATATTTCTTTTCTTGGATAGAAATATCATTCAGAAATTTAAAATTCAGATGCCATGATACAAGCATATGCCTTATCTACTGTGTTGATGTATAAATTGATTCTGGACGATTGAAAACAAGAAACACAGGATACAGATCTCAAATTAACTACTATCTCCGGACAAACTATATCTTATATTTAGGACCAGAGGTGGTAGTACAATACACTTTCACAATCATTCTCATGATTCTGGTGACATGTTAAACTAACTAATGTAGCCAGAGTGCAATGAGAATAGAGTTCTAGCAATTTTCTTAAACCTAAAGCATTTAAGCCAATGATATTGCATCAAAACGTTGTGTCGGAGTAATATACACTTATTCATGAGACTAAATCATCAGACAGAGTAACAGCTAAAGGAAAGCATCGTTAGATGATAAAAATTTTCTCATCACAAGGTGTAGTGAGTACAAATGTGAGAAATGTAAAATACTCCTCCAGTCCTAAATATAAAACCCTTATACTCACTAGTATAAGGGTCTTATATTATTTAGGACCGGAGGAATAATAAATTAAACACCACAAATTTCTCTTAAACTTTGTTAAAATACGATATACCTCAGCTATATCAAAGAGTTATCTATAAAATATGTATTTCAGTTGACTGAAAGAATTTTGGCCAAAAGATTAAAATTAAACCAAAGTGTAGACTTGTAGTGAAGTCGTGTAATTTCAACAAAAATGAAGGAAGTTACGTATACCTCACTGAAAATAATGTTAACATTAATTTTAAATGTTGATGCAAAGATCACCACAACAAGAAGATAAATCAATTTATTGAGTTATCCTAGCTTCATTATTATGGCTTTAAATTTCCACGGTGCCCTTTGTCCTATCATTTATCATTCCTTGACTGTCAATTAATTTCACCAGATTAAACTAACCAACGAAAAAGCCCTTCTCAATACATTCTGTATTCTCATGCAACTGCTTTCAGTGACAAAGCAAAACCAGCAAGTAATGTTTCCTCAAACTTTTTCTCATGGACCATGATAAATCATTATTGTCATAGAATGCTAGGTACAAGAAAGAAGCATAACACACCATAAGTTGTATACCTTCATTACAAGAACCCATACTGCTGGGTTCTTGTAAACATAAAACTTTGCAAGTGAATAATTGGAGGACTTATGTTAATGATGAGAAGTTACGAATAATCACTAGCCATGCACTTACAACAAACAAACAAACCCAAAAAAAAAAAATGGAGTCAAAGGCTCGCTCATTTGTTTCTACAAATAATACTTAGATAGCGGCAAGCACAAGTTGAGGATATATGATGAAATATAAGAACTGATATATTTTAAAGAAACCTCCTATAGAAGGCAATCTATCTAAATTATATATTTTATTACTTTCGGTTTTTGCTTATTTAGCAAGTAGGTTGTTTTTATCAATTCATGGATGTTTCCTTAAAGGGAAGGAAACCTTAGCAGTGACTTGTATGAATAGCCACCATGCAGCGCATGCAAGAAAGATTTGGATGATAATGAAAATAGATTTTGATATGGTTTAGCTTCTGTCCCCACCTTCCTTCTCATTCCCCCTCAAGTTCTTCATCTTTCCCCCACCTTCTGGTCTTATCCCTCCCCTCAATTCTTTGCCTAATCTCTCCCCAAGTTCTAAGTTCTGTATTCCACCACCATTCTGCTCTTCATCCCTCTCCTTCCCCTCTCTGTTTCTATCCCTCTTTCCCATAATCCCTCCCTTTGCATCATCGGAAGTGTTCCTGAGTCTGCTTTGCATCAATATAATAAAATACAAATGCAGAAGTTACAAATTTAAGAAGTTCCACCTCCTGGGCCCAGCCACCTAATCCAGTCCCAGTGACATTTGACATGAGATTTGAAGAAGCCATAGGACTAGGGCTTCTATTCCGCAGTCTATCAAAATCACCGAAACTTTGGTTGGACATCATTCCTGAAACTCTCAATATTTCTGCACATAGAAAACCAATTATATCAGAAATGGACAGGCACTACATAACATCATACTCAAAGAACATGGAAGGACCTAACTTAACAGATAAAGGAAGCGGGGTTGAAGAAATGAAAAGAAATTGAGTGATCTAAGAAAATGGATCATGTATAAGTAGACACAAGTCAAACTATATCAGATTGACCGTAGCCTAGGAGCCTTTCCAGTTCATCACTGACAAAACAGAGAATGCTCAGCAAGAGCCACTTAGGTTTATGGCAGTCAGGTGTGTTGAAGGCCCCATCAACCTACATTGTATTGAAATGATATTCTTGACCTTTAAGCCTGAACTTAAAGTCAAGAGAAAAACCATGTCAAGTTCAAAGCCTGTACATAATCAATCAAGAAAAGCCAAACCCTTCACGGAAGCTTCTAAAATTTTTGTTTTTTGCCAACCATGGAAGCTTCAAACTATTTGCATAAACTATAGCAACTTCATGTTTTCCCTTGGAGTTTCTCTTTCCAGCCACCAAAAGAGACTGCACAAAATTTCTTCGAATCCAACCCCAAAAAATAAAAACTATTCAGACTATGAAATTGACAAAAATCGCATCTTGGAAATACCAGTCTCACTATCAATAGTTGTACACACTACTTAACTGGACGGTTTCAACATGTTGCTTGATTTACACAGAAACAGCAATGAGGGGTACATTTTGATAAAGGCAACACAACTGGACGGTTTCAACCTGCCCGAGGTAACTCAGATGTTGAGACATGATAGAAATAGGGCTTAACAAGAATTTCAAATTAAACCAAACATGCAGTTCCCCATAAGGGTGACTACCCAAGTAAGTGATAAGAGAATTGAAGCATCACAATCAATAATGATGCACCACAAGCAAAGCAATCAATGTAAGATCGATAGGTCTGAAGGTAAGAAAAACTGGGAAGTATGATTAACACAGATAAAGACCGTTGATACGCGATCTGAAGAAGAGCAAGGGAGAAAACAAAAGGAATGTAGAGATCCACGAAAGGGAGGATTAAGGAAGAAACCTTGATTTAACAGCCGATTGCATATCGGAAGGACTTGAATGAAGGGTCCAAGCTTCTGATGCTCTGCCAGCAACTCCTGCAAGTACTGACTGCAGGGGGGAAAATCCCAGTAAAGTGAAGACGAAAAAAAGACAGCATATTTAGAATTAAATGCACAGAATTTTGTGACGAACTGGACCAAGACTCTGTTTTTGGCACCCAACTCGATTTTCACCAAACATTCCCAAGCAACCTACCTATCGACATCTGGGGCGCTTCTAATCTGAGGAGAAACCGCTCTAGCGTGAGAGAAGTTGGGATTATACAAACCAGACATGGGTTTTACTCCTCGGTTCAGCTTTTATCAGGGGGTTGAAGAAACAAGAAAATCGAAACGCAGGGGTTCACTCGATGTCGTAGCAGTTGCTGCTGCTGCTGCAGAGGAAAAGGGCGAAACAGAGGAGGAGAAGCAATAAAGGGGTCGACAGAAATCTGTGAATTTTACAGAGGGGGAGGCAAATCATTAATTATCTTTCTTGCCTTTTTTTCTGTCTTTCTCTGTTTTTTTTTTTTCCTTTTTTATATCCTGGTTGTCCCCAAGCTGTGTGGCGTAATATAAGTATTTATATAATTAAAAGGAGGAAAATGGGAAAGCGATGGAGTGAAAGTGGAAGTGGAGCCAGAATTGTGAAGCTGGAAGGGATTTTTTCTGCAGAGAGAAATTTTGACAGTGGACCAAGGGCGGTTAGGAAATGAAGGAGAAAAGATTTTACAATGTGGATCGATGAGGTCAGAGTCAGAGACACTGTAGAAAGTTAAAAGACATGTGTTGGTCATGCGGCAGAGAATCTGAGGTTCCATGCTATGCTAAATTGACGGCTTAACTACATAAAAGGAAAACCTAATTCCATAAAATATTATTTTTTAATAATAAATAAAAAGGCAACGACAATTTTCATTTTTTTTAATTTTTAATTCACATCAGAATATTACAAAATCTGAATTTTTCTTGGGGATAATGACAAAAAAAGGAAGCTGGAATTTTATAAATACTAAAACAAGGAATGTCAGGAAAAATTTATTATCATTTATAAATTCAAACTTGTTAATACCAAATAAAATTGTGTCACCGAACCTGAGATTTGTAATTTTCTGCTTCTTTTTTTGTCATTCTCTTTTTTTCTTATGCTGTTTCTTTTTTTTTTTTTTGGGACGAAATATTGAAATTCTTATGGCGCATCTAAGTGCAAGCTTTATATCTATAAGTGGATTGAGATCTTTTGAGGAATCCAACTTTGTCAAACCTTAAAAGCTACATTAAAATGACTCAAGTTCAAGTAGCTTCTTATATTTATTGAGTCATAATTTTTATTTAAGTCATAAAACAGTACAACATATGAATATATATATATATATATATATATATATAGATTGTTTTATCAATATACTCTCCGTAATCATCATTATAAGGCACACCGTAAAAGAAATGAATGAATTTTATTATAAATAAACAAGTATTAATTATAGTTTTTAAAAACTGTCCTTATTTAAAATTTCATATTATTTTTATAGTAATTCATGATTCTAAATATAAATAAATTTATTTTTTATTTTCAAATAAAGTTAATAATCAGAGAACTTCTCGATGATATGATTAGAAATACTCCTATGCTTACATTTATAGGATAGAGATAGAAATTTTTCATATAAACGTTGACTTTATTTTCAAGGAATATAATATATATTAAATAAGAATAAAATTAGTTGGCAAAAAAAAAAGAATAAAATTGAAAATTTATTGAATTGTAAATGAGAATTTATAAAACTTAAGATTTTTCACTTTTTCCTGATATGTGTGAAACATATTGAAAGTAACTTACAAATAAGATCAGAAAAGTAACTTTTAATAAAAACTAGAAATATATACAAAACCTTCAGCAAAAATATACACACACACACAAAACCAAATTTCAACAATAGGATTATTTCATTTCATCAAAAATCACGTGAGTACCTTTTAGAAAGTAGTATATTTGATCTTTTTGACTGGTCACTTTATAAGTTTTCAAGAGTATTAAATATTCACGGCCAAAAATAAAGAGTATTAAATATTCTAGCCAAAAAAGGATAAAAAGTAAAATAGTGGGGTTAAATGTGATTAAACAGGGTAATATAAAAGCTATTTTAATTTTGTAAATAGCCTTTAATCATTTTCTTAGCATAAATAACTTATATTTAAGACTCAGAATAATAGAATCCATAAAGTATTTAAGTAATTTTGTCCAAACAGCATCATTAAATTAATTTTAATTTCAATGTACTGCTTGGGTTTTTAATATAGGATCTGATTGGGAAGTTAATATTAGTTATGTATATATAAGACTTATTTCATATGTTTATCAAGTTTTTTCAAATTAACAATGATGATTAAGTAGGAGAGGAAGAGAGAGAATTAAGAAAGATACTTAAAGTGTTTTAGAAAATATTAACATCTTTAATCTACTCAATTAGTTTATTAGACTTTACATTAAAGACCATAGGAGTATATATTGATCAGGTTTATATGATTATATGTTGTCATACTATAAATGGTTTAACATTGAGACTTGAAAATTATTTGATTTCTAAAACAAATGATGTCAAATAATGCCCATGACAATATGTTATTTATAGGTCATCAATGATAAAATTTATTTTTATGCCATGTGTGGAAGAAAAAATGTTTAATTTAAAGTTCTTATAATCTTTAATTGACCTCATTTTAGTTTTTATCCCTAAAGTTTAAAATAATCGTTTTGATCCTGAAACCTTAAAAAGCATAAACATTATTTAAATGACCAAATATATTTAGACGAATTAAAATGAGGTCCAAAAATCACAGGTCAAAATTAGAGGTGTTTATAGAACGGGATAAGGTTTTTGTCTCATGTCCCGTCCGGGTTCTGACGGGATCGAGACATCCTGCTTCTGACAGGACCGGGCATCCCGCTTCCCTTTTTTTTTGGAAAAAAAACTATAATTTTTTATATGAATTTTTTTAATGTTATAATGCTTATTTTTTTATTGGGTTTCTAAAAATAAAAACATTATAAGAAAATATTATATAGAAAGCTCAATTATATAGTATAAAAAAAGTGTAAAAACAATACTGTTAAAAAAAATACCATAAAAGAAACACTATTATGATGACTTTATGAATTATTTTATTGAGGAAGAAAATTTTGTTGAGATAATACTACAACTTAAGAGTTAAAAATCATTATAAAAATAATAATTGTTATTAATAAATAAATTAAATAATCTAATAATAATTATTAATAAATAATTTTTAAAAGAAAAAAAGGGACAGGACATGGAATGAGATCATCCTTTCCCATCCCGTCCCATTTTTATCTTGTCTCGAAATTTTTTTATCCTGTCCTGTCTCAAACTCACCAATACCGAGACGGGATAACAGAAACGAGACAAATTGAACACCTTTAATCGAAATGAGGTCAAATTTTATGAATCAAATCCATTAGCTTTAAATTTCATGAATTAAAATCAAAATCAAATCAAATTTCAAGAATAAAATAATATTAATCCTTAATTCAATTAAAATGACTTCACAAAAATCACATCTCAGTGTAGAATTCTTTCATTCGTAATCGTAACCTAGGAGTGATTTTTTTTCCTTGTTTAAGGGGGTGTTTGGATAGAAACCAAACCATAGTTTCAGAAGTGCTTTTACGGTTTACGAAATAAATATATGGAGGAGTTTGCCTCGTTTTACGGAAAAGTGCTTCTGAAACTATGGTTTGGAGGTTGCCAAACACCTCCTAAGCCTCATATAGTGATGAATAATAGTACTAATTATTCAATAAGTCCAATACTAAGCCTACTCACAGGACGACACGAGATGGAGACAGACCCGTCCCAAAAAACAAGAACGGGACAAGATGTTCCGTCTTGAGACCGAGACGCAGAAAGCCTAATCATATAATATAAAAACAATACTGTCAAAAAAGTACTGTTACAAAAAAAACAATATATAATAACTTTATGAATTATTTTATTAAGAAAAAAGATTTTATTGAGATAATATTGTAGCTAAAAAGCTGAAAATCACCATAAAAAATAATTATTGTTAAAAAAATAATTAAATAATCTAATAAAAATTATTAATAAATATTTTTTTTTAAAACTCTGAAATGTGATCCCGTGCTGCATCCCCTCCCGATCATTATTTTGTCTTGTCCATTTTCAAAAAAATTTTTTGGTCCCGTCTCATCCATCCTGTATTAACTGAAACTGGGACAAAACAAGTTCACTACAATCTAATACCATCTTGGGTTTTAAATATAAAAACTAGTTAGAAATCATAAAAGACTTTAATTCACTTTGTCTTTCAAATTTATGGGTTTTAAAAAATATTCCTATTTATTGTAATGTATTTTCACCCAAGTATAATTCCACTATACATAATTGAACAAATGTAATTTAAAAAAGTCAATATAAATATGTTACAAGTAACTAACTTAACTAATTCTCTTAATTTTTTCAAATTAGTTATCAAACTCTTATATTAAGAACTGGATGCAATAACTCATTGGAATGTTTTCACATCTAAGTCGCTAAGTTAGTGTAAAACCATAATTTAATATACATATCAAAACTTTTGGCCAACAATTATATACATACAATAAACGAAAACCATTTTTTTGTTTTCCATCATTTTTGTTACATTCTAAGACATTCCTAATCACCTGACATGCATCGTTCCAATATTAACAGAATACAATAACTTATGATAAACAACTAAAATGAATCCACCCCTATACTTCCTTATATATATTATAAATCATAAAACAACTTGACATGCCTCACAAAACTCTTCAGACCCTAAGCACCTTCCCCATCACATGTATTCCCCACATTTCTCAACGGTAAAAATCTAAACACAAGAATAAATCCAATGAATGTATCAGGTTTATGGGGAGTAAAAACAAAAAATAAAGGACTGATCTAAACAGACCTAGTTTCATCTCAATACTCAGCTATATGACTTGTTTTAATCTTCTTGTTTTTTTTTCCAACTTTGTTCAAAAAGGACCAAAACCACCAGAATGCTAGCCAGCAAAAATTGAGTTAACTTATTCTTTTCGTAGCTTCTGCACTGGTTGAAAATGTACCAGACCACGATGAGATAAGCGTTTAGACAAATAGTAAGAAAGAAAGGTTTCTCAGCGACCTGTTTTTGCACGTTTCATTCCACTAGAATTGAATGGAGATACACTACCACTTGGACCAGGACTCTCTTCTCTGAAATTTGAATTCAGCATAGCTAGTTCACGCAACTGCTGCCTCTTAATGTAGTCTTGTGACTCGTCCTGCATATATATGGAAGATTTACATTTCAGAGGAAACAGATGAACAACTTTTTCATAAATGAGATCACTCAGCAAACTTCTATGATATTAATTTAACTAACAAACTGATGTTCCAACAAAGAAACAAATCATGGCATCAATATCCAAAGAAAGCAAAAGGTCA